CTCTCTCTCTCTCTCTCTCTCTCTCTCTCTCTCTCTCTCTCTCTCTCACACACGCACATACACACAACACGTTAAACCTAAAGTCGGCAAATACTTGACGCTCACCCAACCTGTTCTGCTGCTGCGTTAAACACATAGGTTCAATGCCAAAAGCTGTTGCGCAAAACACATCCGTGCTGTATAGATATGCATGCAAATATAGTGCATAATCTAAACTACGATCTAATGTTTTGTGATCTGGTGTCTCATGATACAATATAACATCTTGAAGTATATATCCACGCTGTGCAGTATAACGTGGTAAGTGAGACATTTAAGGTACATAAGGCTTCTTTATGATGACATAAGATAAGACTTCATATTGTAGGTTATGACCTGGTTTTGACTTGTTCAGTATGTTATCAATGTGGGACCTCCTCGATCAAATTGAATTCACTGAAACTGAAACTGAAAATTAAATCAAAAAGTTAAAGGAAATTAGCTTGTCAGAGATACAAGATGGTAAAAAGGACATTTTAAAAAATACCAGTTTTATTTTTAAAAGATGTGACAGTAACCCAGTAAGCTGTCTGGTTACCGGTTTGAACCACTTGGGGGCAGAGCTGCACTTTGATGTGCACCACCTCTGTGATTCTAGTGTGACGCGTGAGAGAAAGATCACAGAGGCTGGTATTGAGTCCTCGACTTATATGGCTGACATGTTTGATTTTTAAGCTGGGAGTGAAATCTTACAGTAAATATGTGTGACGTTAAACGTATATATGTTCATGAGCTGTGTCATAAAATGATGAACAGGAAAAAAAAACTGTAAAATGAACAATCAGCATTTGGCACCACTTTCAATCAGGCAGCCTAACTGTTTATTAAATAGACGTATTATATTAATAATTATATATTATATAGACAGATTGCATATTATTCAACAATGAACTTCTGTATGTGTGTACAGATATATGTAGAAATGCACATACAACTCATACAAATGCAGTTTTAATTTAACACTATAAGGAGCCAGAATGAAAACCGATCATAAGGTATTAAAATTCTGATTAATTACATCGAATATTTGATAGTTGTAAATGTGTGTTATGCACATATACAACCATCAAATATTCACAATTTGTCCTCAAAGGAGAGAGAGAGCAAGTCTAGGCTTATACATATATCTGATGGTGAGTTTTACTACAACAAATCAGCATGAACATTCGTATTTATCACTATAATATGATGTAATCAGTACTAGTATCTCATTCAGATGATTTTGTTTTAGCTGCTGTAGTTTATATCGTTTATTGAATCAGGCAAGTTCCATTGAGAGCTCATTTTCAAGTGAGACCTGAGCACATAGAAGGCACTGGAAGACTGCAATATACATGTAGAAACATGCAAGAACAAGAAATACAATCACAAATAAATAATAAGTTTTCTGATCAAGAATGAATCAGGAATCAAATTATATTTCACCAGGAATGAGGAGTATTTATATCCACAGTACTCATTCAGTGTGACTCCATTTTGAGATTTACCCACCGTAAATTAATGTTCAACAAAATACTTCCTGTGAGTGTATGGGGGGCAGAAAGAGAGAGAGAGAGAGAGAGAGAGAGAGAGAGAGAGAGAGAGAGAGA